AAAGAAGAGAAAATTGATTTAGTCCAGATTATTAAATTATCTCACTGGGTTGATTTTTATTTTTGTTATATCATAGAACATTGCCTCTGAATGGTTGGTTCAGAGTTCAGACACCATATTTGTGAACATATTGACCTTTGGCAACAGGAAAAATGACAAAGGATGAGTTGTCTATGGTAGTGCCAGYTGTGCCTGGTTTGCCCAATTTTGATTCAACACCGAATCTTTAGGTGGTTCTTTAATGAACTAGAAACAACACTGTTGGATATTTCAATCCTTTTTTTACTTATGCATGGTCTAGTTCATATTAAGTTATCCCACTGCTTCAAGTTCAACTAATAAACAAGGGTGCTTGTACAACAACACTTCTGTTTAGATTTCTCCCACCTGTGTAAAAAGAATATTATTGTCAGCTGGTACAAGGTGTTTGATACAGTGCCTTCAAGTATAAAATATAGACAAACTGAGAATGGTCTGATGTTCATCGACAGCTACAAATACTGTGTGAGAGTAATTATTGAAAATGAAATTGTGTAACTGGAAATAACTTTATATCTGACCCATAAAGTATGACAAATGGACCATAAAGGATTATCAATTTTGAGAAATTCAACTGTCCTTGCAARTTTTTTGAGAAAACATGAAGATGCTCTATTAGTGACACTCAAGACTATCAAGTTTGATAACAACTGAAATGGCTGAACTGAATGACTTATTGCTTTGTTATTTAGCGAATAAATTATTAGGAGGTTGTGAGCTCCTTAATGRCTGAAGCTGAAGTTGGATTAATTACAATAGCTTTGAATATGTTATTGTTTAATTATTATATCCACTAACAGAAAAGCAATAAATCATTCAGTTCAGCTATGATGTTTAAAGGACTTATATCATATTTAGACATCTCTTGGTTGTTCAAACACTAAGTAGAAGAATCCATGGTATAGAAGCTTTTGATGATTCCACTTGGTTCTCCTAACAATAGACTTAAGATGCAAGCTTGAGCAACCCTCACTTAAAATGTCTGATTTCTTTTTATTTGGAAATGATAGGTTAATCCACAGTTCTATGCATTTAGATGGATAACCCTCCTGTTGACTCAAGAATTCAATTTTGCGGACAGCCTTCACATTTGGGACACACTATTAAGTGATCTTGAAGGTCCACAGGTAAGGGTTTATCTTGTCAATCTATTGACTTTGGATCTGCTGATCACATCCTGCTCATAAGGCACTACAGCTGCACATCAGGAATATCTCCCCCATGAAGGCATGTAGTACAAGAGGTTTCCTCAAGTGCGGCTATAAGATCTTCTGGCCAGCATGCTATGTTCAGCAGATTTGGAGTTCTGGACTACAATCTGTTATGTTCACATAGGATGCCTCCCCCCTTCTGTTTTTCGTTTCGTCTTATTGGTAGGGGTGAGCGAATGGGTAGGCTTCTATCTGGAACTGTATGAAACCGACCTCAAACTGGCYCTACCCAATGTGTTACTGGGTAGAGTCTGGTTCCAAATTCTTGGAACCAACCCCCACCCAGGCCAATTCTAGGGTCTAGGGGTTTACCCTACCTGAACCAACCTGGAGAACTGGCCTTGGTTGGCCTGGGTAGAACTGGTCTTGGAACCGAACTTAGTGTAAAATAAATCCCATAATACTTTGAGAATGTGAAGATTTGAAGTCTGGTACTCATGGTTACAAAGACCATGGCCTCACATAACCATTGGGCCACTTAAGTGAATTGATAATTTTTCTTCAATTTAAAATTTAAATGTCTATAATATTAACATAATATGATAATCTCCAGATTAAACTACTTTATTTAATCAATAAAAATAATATAGGTTTTGAACTATATATTATCATTATTCAAAGTCAAGCTTAACCATTTTATGATTGCAATATTATTATTATTATTATTATCATAAAGAACAACTTCCATGGATAGACCTTGGAATCAATCTTGACAGGGTAAGTTCCAGGTTCTGCCTTGGAACTGAACCAAACCGAACCAACCCATGCTCATCCCTACTTACAGTTATAGGCAAAAGCTAGCTGTTTGGAAACGACTGGAATCCATCTTTTTATTTGCAAACAACCCCTTCATTTCTAATATTTGAAGACTTGTGTGACATACAAGACTTGGTGTTGATAAGATATATTGTTGCACCAGGAGACATTGCTTAGAATATGTTGTGCTATGCTGATTCTCATCCGGAGGCGCCTATTAGCAGGTGATTTTACTTCCAATCTCAAGCTACTCCAGAATTACCCTTCAACCAACATAAGCCACCTCCTCTACGTTGCTGACAAGTTGCGTGCAGGATCTGCTGGATAACCTCCATTTTGGTTTTTTTCCATCCCCTTTTCTTTTCTTGCCTTTTTCTTTGCCTATTTTTTTTGTATTACAAATTTGATGTTTGTATAATTGCTAGATGTAAATGTTTGTTTAAATTAACCACTTCGAGAGAAAATAGTTTGCTTCAGCCACCTCCTGTCATGTATTTCCTTGACCTGTAGTGTCCTTTGCTATCTGTACGAGTCGTTTTTTTTAAGTTCTGTGACTTCTCTCTGARCATTGATACCAGGCAACATTTGTCATTCTGATTGGTCGAAAATATTGTACCAAGAAGCATCAAACCATTTTTCCCCTAATCTTGCTTGCCATGTTCAGATCTTGCAAGGAATTCAAGAAACCTATAGGGTTTTTTAGTTAGGGGTGCTGGGTTAGCAGTCCTGGTTCAAGCAACCTGGCTGATTAGCTCTTGATGGAAAAAAAGGAATCATTTTATGTTCTTGTAGTGGTTCTGTCATTCTGTGAAGTAGAGAARGTTTGAGCAACCAGACTTGTAGTGTCCCAACACCCAGTCCCGATTTCCAATGTAATTGTTCAAAATGCTGTACAACCACAGTACACCTGTCATTAGATGGTTGGTTTGAGCTCAGATATTCTGCAAGCAAAAACTCTGTTCACACGGCACATCAGTAATGTCTTTGTACATATATAGTAGTTGGGACCTGTGCTTTGTTAAATGAAATTCAAACAAAAATAATTTTGACATTTCTAATTGTGCCAAGTTAAACCAAATCCAGTCCAAATATTATCCTTGGGTTACGTATTATTATGATTAATAATTGGGTTGAATATGTTTTCACAGTTCCAAAATTGATAAGATGTGAACTGATTATATATATATAAAAGATAGTGTCGTTTTATTGTACTTTTTGTTATTTTTATTAATGTGCAAAAGGAAAAATTTAGACAGAATAAGCCTATAAAATAATTTGTTATCAAAAAATGAACTTCCAAATTATTATCATAGCCAATTGAGTGGTGGCTCAGTTGGCACGTAATCTGGATAGTCCCAGGCAGGATGCGGTTTCAATTTTCAAGCCCCACTGTTGACTCTCACCACCTTTAAGAAGAGTTATTAATGTTACTAGAAAAAGTACTGTTTTTGAGGTCTATTTTATATAACTGATTAAGAAACTTAATCCAACCCATTGATAGATCTGGTCCTACCCATGGATTTTTAGTTTATGTATTGTTAAATAAATTTATATTATTTTTAGAAGGATTTTAAATTTTATTAAAATTTAGTAATTCATTAATAATTTTATTTTTGTTAGTTATGGTTAGTTAAATTTGAATTAATTAATTATTTTAAATTGACTTTATGGTAATAAAATTAATTTTA